CCAATGTAGGGCAGCCAGCCGGGGGTGGGGGAAGATATGTTGAGAAGTCTGGCTGCCGCGTTCTGCACCATTTGAAGTTTTCGCATCAAAGGTAGCCCCACGTAGAGCGCATTATAGTAATCTAATCTTGAGACTACAAGCTCATGGACTAGAGTGGTGAGCGTGCCAACATCAAGATAGGGACAAAGCTGGGCAATCCACCAAAGATGGAAGTAGGCAGTGCGGACCACTGACGATACGTGGGTTTCCACGGTAAGTGCCAGATCCAGATGGAGCCCCAAGCTGCAAGACTTAATAGCTTAAGTCTTTCTACTTTCACAAAACTTTATTTTAGGCCAAAAGATACTATATGGATGAAATTACAGTAAACTTTAATTGTAGTATTGGTGGAAGAACAGAAGTAAATGTAGCATTTTTATAAAAGGGCCAATCACAATTCTGCATGTTTTAACTTCATTCTGATGTTTAATCCAAGTTCTAAAGTACAGTACACATTCCATGCAATCACTGTAGTGTGATCTTTTCAGAACCTTTGGTTTGGGTTTCATTTTTTTTAATGCATCATCCTTTCATGTCATAGAAACAATTCTCTTGTTTGCTTTGATTTAAATAAGGTTTCAAATTAATTGCATGTATGATTAGCCTCAGGTCATCTTTGTTTATACTCACGAAGAGAGATGAGGATTGCAGGAAAGCTCAACATCTTTGAACAAATGGGAAACTGCAAAGGAACTGTATTTAAGGCAGCCTGATTTTCTTGAAAAGAGGAGGTTGGAGAGGGCCAAAATATTGCCTGGGCAACACACAACCAAGTTTTTTTAAAAAAATGGCACACCTGCATTATTGGTAAGCAACCCTTCCACCATTTGTAGCTTCATGGACATCTCAGTCCTTTCTTACTCGCAACTCTTTTACAGCTATATCAGTTTTACAAACACTGTAATGCACTATTAAGTCCCCTTGCCTAGGAAATATGTGAAAGGCACCATGTAGCTTTCCTATTCCTATGGTCCTCTTATCGTATTTTGGGAAGCTACTGAGCCTGAATATGTTGAAGTTTAGGAATATAAAGACTCTCTTTGTCATATAAATGCCCCCTTTACTCTCATGTGACTGGTAAGAGCCCCAGGAATTGCACAGTTCTATGAATCCATCCACTGGTACTACAGTCTAAGCTGCAGTAGTTTAAACTGAGTGCTGCTTCAAAATTCCACAATTGGGCACATGCAGAATGTAAGTCAAAAGTGACATTGAGTTGCAAGCTTTATGTCTTATACCAGTGGTTACTAATCTTTTATGCCCAGATGCTCCTGGACTACAAGTCCCAGGAGTTCTGGTGAGGGCCTCTGGAAGTTTATTTTATTTATTTATTTGTTCAATTTATATCCCGCCCATCTGGTATATTCTACCACTCTGGGCGGCTTATAGAATATCAAAACAATTAAAAAACATAAAAACATTAGCATACAACAATAACAAATAGTGCAGGAATATATAAATAATAAAGAGTAAAGGGAAAGAAATCTGTAGTTGACAGGAGGGAAGGCCTGGATGTACAGCCATGTTTTCAGCTGGCATTTCAAAGTACCCAGCGTAGGGGCCTCGCGAATCTCCGGAGGAAGGTTGTTCCAAAGGCAAGGAGCCACTGCCGAGAAGGTCTGGCTTCGAGTCTTTTCCCTCTGGGACTCCCTAGGCGTCAGGCTCCTCAGCCTCATCTCCTGACTCATGCGGGTGATCCAAGTAGATCTTGGTGGGAGCGGGCACTCCGCCAAGTATCGAGGTCCTAAACCGTTTAGGGCCTTATAGGTAAGCATTAGAACGTTGAATTCAATGTGGAAACGGATGGGCAGCCAGTGCAGCTTGGCCAGAATAGGAGACATATGTTGGTGTTTTCTCACTCCAGTAAGGAGTCTGGCCGCTGCATTCTGCAACATTTGAAGTTTCCGCATCAGCCTCGAAGGCAGCCCCACGTAGAGCGCGTTACAGTGGTCTAACCTTGAGATTACGAGCGCATGTACCAAGGTACTGAACGCCCCCATGTCAAGGTGGGGTCGCAGCCGGGCAATTCGCCAAAGGTGGAAAAAGGTGGTGCGAACTACCGACCCCACCTGGGTTTCCATGGTGAGCGTCGGGTC